TTTCCTTCCTGAGGCAGAATTTCCTTCCCAGAGCAGCTGCAGTGTTAAACCTGTGAGAGCTCAGGAAAATGAGATTGGTGCTGCTGCTTTGGGGTTGTGATCAGCTCTTCTTGGAGTYGTGGATTTGTTTAGGTTGGAAAGGATTTTTAAATCTTTGAGCCCAACCATTCCCCCAGCACTGCCAGGGCCATCACTGCCCCACGTCCCCCAGTGCCACATCCACAGGGCTTTTAAATCCCTCCAGGGATGGGACTCCACCACTATGAAACCCTTTCCAATGCCTGTCCACCCTTCCCATTAATAAATTTTCCCAAATATCCAATCTAAACCTCCCTTGGCACAACCTGAGGCCGTTTCCTCCTTTTCTTGTCTCTTGTTCTCTGCGAGAAAATCCCAACACCCACCTGGCTTCTCCTTCCTGTCACCTCCCTTTYCTCCAGGCTGAAAATCCCAAGCTTTCCAGATTATTCCATGTATTTTGCAGGTCCTGTCCCAGCAGTGACAGGAATTAATGGTGTGAAATGAATGTCCTTGTCACTTCTGGTTAAGCTATCTTGCACACCTAAAATAAATAAAATCCKACACGCCAAGATCATTCCTAAATGGAAAGGTTTAAGGGCTGAARGAGTTTTCYAGAATAMTYTTCCACRSAAAAMTGGGTYRGAGGTTATAATTTTGGCTCGTTTTYCTTTGGAATTGCTGMGAAATGCCTCRAGGCATGAATTAATTCCTGTCTCCTTTCCATGTTTTTCCCAGGCCATTCGGATCCTGGTGCAGGAGCGCCTGACTCAGGATGCCATAGCCAAAGCCAGCCAGTCCAAGGAGGTTTGTACCACACTGCAYGGGTCAGGGTTAATTATTCCACCTTAATTAATGAGGATAAAGGTCTGTCCCTCAGTCAAAACCAGTTCTGTTCCAACATTTCATTTGAGAGGCTGCTGGAAGCTTCCTTTATCCCAACCATTCTGATTCCAACACATCCAGGGGGTTATAGGGAGAGGTTTACAAAGCTCTTTTTATTCCATTTGAATACAAATACACCTGAGTGAGATCTCATGGAATAGCTCTTCCCTGAGTTATTTYCCMGAGGATTATCCTGGCTGTTGAATGYAGGAGTRYAGTGTGAGAAGAAATGCTYYTTTCTGGCTTTTCCTTGGAATTTTGGCTGCACAAAGAGGTTCAGGCATTCCTTGTATGGAGTGTTTTGCTTCAGATGGACACCTCATATGTRTTTGAGGAATGGGGTGTTGGAAATCCAGCTCCTCCCTCCTCTCTCCCCCCAAAAAAAGAGGTGGTGAAGGAAACTCCTGCCCTTAAACTCAGATTTTTGCAAAATTCCTTGGTAATWACGAGCTGTCTGTTGGGAAGATGTTCCAGGGGATGACTGTGGGTTTTTAGTTTGTCCTTTCTTGGCATTCCAACTCCTCTCTCCAGCATTTGGCAGAGCTGGGAAATGTTGGGAAAGGTTGGGGAAGGTTGGGAAAGGTTGGGGAAGGTTGGGAAAGGTTGGGGAAGGCAGCCTCACCTGCCCTGCAGGTATGTGAGCATCCCTGCCAAAGCAGCTGGATCTGCTCAAAGAACCCAAATTAATTCTTTTTTTTTGGCAGCTGCTCACAGTAGTCCATAATTTATTTATTTATTTATTTATTAATATCATCCTGCTGATGTTGTTTTCCAAGTGGGAAATCACAGGTGCTTCAAGTTGCTGGAATTGCCAGAACCATTGGAAGAGTAAATCAAAGCTCTGGACTTGTAAATGCATAAAAGAGCAGAAAAATGGGAAAACAGCTGAGCCTGTTGTCTTTTGGGTTCTGCAGTGTTAATAAAAAACAGCTTTTAGTTRGTGTTTTCATAGCTGCACAGCAGGGATCAAAATGGGATTTTCTTGCAGGAATGGGGATTTTTTTTCCTGCCAGGGAATTGTTCGTATCTGATAGGTCTTCAAAGCATCATTGGGGCTTAGATGTTTCTCTCTGTGATGCAATCTGGGAGTCTTAGGAATCTTAGGAATGCCACATTCCAAGGGATGTGGAGAAAAAATGGAAAATTTGTTCCAGCAGAGTCCATCCACATCATTGTGTGCCAGGGGAAAGAAGGAAATATCTCCAAAGCAAAGGGGATTGCTAGGTTGGGAATAAAAAGAAAATTAGAATTATAATTCTGGTTTTGACTGATTGTTAATGGCCAAAATTTTATACAATTTTTGTACAAATTTTTTCATGAACAGAATTTTTAGAGGATGAGGCTGGAAATGAAATTGTCTGTGTAGTTTCAGAGGAAAARGTGTTTTTTATTTGGCTTTATTCCCTCTTTGAAGCTGCTGCACAGAGGATCATGAGCTTGGTGTATTTCTAGGATGGGCTGGGGGGATTCCAAAGCAGCTTCCCAAAAAGGATCAAACTGAGGGACTGTGGGAAGAAAGGAGCGTAAGGAATTTGCTGCTACCAGGTGACACTGAAGGAACCTTGGGGAATTCATCCACAAAGAACTGGGAAGGAAAAAAAAAAGACCAAAGTGGCACAATTTTTTCTGCTGGTGTGAGTTGAGAACACCCCAGGTTGGCAGGGGGGAGCTCTTTGCAGCCTGAAGCACAAACTTCATTTCTTAAAAAATCCCTGTWGGAAGTCTGATATTTCTGGAATCTTTTTGAAGTGGCATTAGTGGCATTTTTATCACCAATTTTGCCAGTGGAGATGGATTTTTGAGCCTGCAGTTGAATGTGGATTTTACTGTAAAGGCCATGGAAAAACCCCACTTTTTGAAAATGGGTTGCAGCCACCAGTTTGTGTTTAATGTGTGTTTTGATCAACTCAGATTCTTTTTTTTTCCCATGTGTATAAAAGCCTTTAAAGGAAATCCTCACTGTCTAAAAGCTTTACAGCCCCATCACTGCAGAAATTAATGGTATTGAACTCCAGGGTTTTTCTTGTGCCAAATACAAGGCTTTTGGCAAATGTTAAAAATCAACTAAGGGTAGGAAAAGCAAATTCTAGGATTTGGAATGTTTACATCTAATTTTAAGTGCACATTGAAGCTCCTTGAGTAAAGATTTAGTGTGACCACTCCTCTGCAGCTGGACACAGAAAGGAAACAGAAGGAAACAGAGCAATGTTCAGAAATGGCCACTAATAAACTTTGCCTTGGAGTGTTTAGAAAATGGAATATTTACTTTATTCCTGAGCTTAACACTCGAGCAGATGCTTCTGGTGATGTTGTGAGCTCAGCAAAACTTGATTACAGAGAATTTCTGCAGCTCTCTGCAATCAGCCCCTGCTCAAAGGCTGGCAGCTGTTGAAAGGCTGAAGTTTCTAAGAAAGCCCAGTTTTGTTTTCCTGGGAAGCTGCTGGATTGGGGGATGGCTCCCAGTCCTGCTGTTGGCCTTTTAAGGATTGAATGCAGGCTCTGTGTATCCAATGGGGGATTCTTGAGCAGGAGGATTTTTCTTTAATAACGCTCTGGGTTTGGTGTTTCAGGACGCARAGGGATTTGTTTAATCAACCCCAGTGACTGTTCAAACTTGTCACACGTTTTTATAAAAGCAAACCCCACATTTCCACCCCCCAYCCCTCAGTTACCTGCTGAAGTACTTGATTTTATTTACCAGACATCTAAAATGATATTTTWWAATTTTTTTTTCTTTTTTTTTCTTTTCCCAGGGTCTGCCTGTTGCTCTAGAAAAGCACATTCTTGGATTTGACACGGGAGGTGAGCACTGCTCCTAATGTGACTTTTAAATGRGAATGTTTGCCTTTGACAAAGTTATTACTGTCAAATCCAGGGCTGATGTGGACAGTAAAAAACGCTGGAGTGGAAAGAATTCCTCCCTCCCAGCTGGTTATTTACGAGCACTCCTGAGCATTTTGGGTTTGGAACAGCGAAGCCTAAAATCCAAATTGTTGGAATATGTTTAAATAACAGCTTTTAATGGCAGCCCGAGGAATGCATCCTCCTGCTGTTTGTAAATCCTGCTGCTACCAGCAGAGGACATCTGTGCTGCTTCCACKGATTTTAGCTGCCTCTTTTTCCTAAAATCTCATGGAGGCAGCTCAGGTTGGCATGACCTGATGGATCATTTATGAGGAGCAGCCAGCTGACCTGGGGTTCCACGGGTCTGGCTTTGTTTTTGTTCCACATCACCTAAATCACTGCTTGGAATGTTTCACACCACCCTTCTGTGGGAGATTGGGATGAAATGATCTTTAAGTTCCTTCCAGCCCTGCCTGTGATTCCCTGATTCTCTGACTCTGAGCTGCCAAAAGCTGGAGGAAATTTTGGAGGTCTCTTTATCAGCAGGGAAAGTTGTTCCCTATTTCCAGCCTGCTACAAAGCACAGACCATTAAAACTTCCTTAAATCCCTCCTGGGAGCTGCAAATTATGGATAAAATTATCAATAAAATGATGGATAAAATCAAAACTCCTCTCTTTACCCTTCCCCAGATGCTGTTATCAACGAAGCTGCCCAAATCCTCCGCCTGCTGCACATCGAGGAGCTCCGGGAGCTGCAAACCAAAATCAACGAAGCCATCGTGGCTGTGCAGGCCATCATTGCTGATCCCAAAACTGACCACAGACTGGGAAAAGTGGGGAGATGAAGGGAGGAAAGCTTTTAGCTCCTGGTGTACTTAGTGCAATTAGGAACCACCACTTCCAGCTCCCACTCTGGCATGCAGTTTGAAACGGGATTATTTTCCTGTTTGGAAAGAAAACAGGAAATGGAATTCTGACTTCTGATGAATTACCGTTTGTTTTTTTTTTTCTTTAAATAAATGAAATTGAGGAAAACAGACAAATTGTTATGATGAGCTCTCAGTTGGCAAATAGGACTTTTTTTTTTTTGTCTCTTTTTCATTGTGTTTAGCTTTGTGCTGAGGGGAATGTTACATAAAATCCTCTTTTCCTAAGGTCCTGCCCTAGGAACAGCTTGCTTCTGGCTTGCTTGCTGCTTCCCTATGCTGAAACATTTCCCTGCCTCTGAAATATCAAAAAACTGAATCCAAAGAGAAACTTAAACCAACCGTTTTTTATTCAATTATTGAAGTAACCTAGAAAAAGTGAAGCATTACAACGTAAYTGGTATTTCTGAACATGTATTGGTCTACACTGGGTAGGTCTAGGAAGGCACTTGGAAGACCCAACAAGCACGACCAGCTCAATTCTAGCATATTCTTCTAATATAAATACTAAAAGACATGCATGGAGGCAGTGGTGAAAACACAGAATCATCCTCTGGAAAATCTTCAATGCCTTTGCCACATCCCATCCCCTGTTTTTGCAGGATTTCGGAGCACGCACAGTCTCTGTCTTCAGGGCTGTTTGTTATTTAGACCCAGCAATTTACTGCATCCAAAGCTTCCCGTAGGCACTTAAATTTTTTTTTGGATAAAAGGACCTCTCGGTCAGATTGTCAAAACTCTGAAAAATGAAACTGTTCTTCCAATAAAATAAAATGCTGGAGTAAAAAAAAAAAAAGCTACATTTTAAATCTTGCATGAGCAAGAGTTCGAGTCATGGCCTGAGCTCCCCAGGGCCATTTTTTGGTGATATCTCAATGTTTTCCACTTGGTACAAAAATACAGTAGTAAAGTCTTGAGGTATAAACTATAAAAAATACTTTTTGCAGGAAAGCAGGGCACCTCGCTGGCCTTGGTGAAGGACTTTTTCCCCCTTGTATGCAGTGACAGTTTTCTGGGTCTGAAATTCTCCTGGGTTCAAAGATGGTCGTTGTTTCCTTGAAATTGGAGTTRCTATTTCCTTGCTGCAGGGAGAAAWGGGGATTTTTAGCRTRTCAGGCACCCAGCAGCCATCAGAATTCACAAAGGGATGGGTTTTGGGGGGGTTTTACCTCCAGGGCAGTAGGGATAAACTGCTGTTATTCCATAGAGGTGGGATCGCTGCTCTGGAAGATACTCATCAGTGAAGGAGCCTGTTTCTTTGTTCACAGCTATCACCCCATCCCTGGTGAAAAAAAAAAAAAAAAAAAGGAAGAAGTGTAACCACAGATTCAATTTTCAGAAATATTCCTGTT